TGACCATCAGATAACCGATGCCGAAACACGCGCGCCATGGACAACTCGTAACTTAAGAAAAATAATTTGAGACGAAGAAAAGCGATGGTGATTGGAGGAACATGCTAAATTTATTTTCCCGTTTTGAGCTAATTTCTAATTATCCGCATTCATCAGCAGCGTTTCCACATACACAGAGTAGAGGCAGGTTGTGTACCGTCAATGTGTACAATCGAATGAACCCCTGACATGTTGAAAATGTATTCGTAAATCGCACGTCTTTTTGTATTCAGAAGCTGTTAAGCCATAGCCTAATGACATCTTGGGTAAGTTAACTTGATGGTCAAATGTACCGGGTTTTTCTTACTTGATGTAGCGTGGTGTGGTTTAGTTCAGCTGAAATACTTATATGTCTAGTTCCCGAATGCGTACTATTTGAAGCGACTAGGTTTTCATTGTCCCCTATCAGTAATATTTATTTTATGGACACAAACACGACTCTTTATTAACGGACGTTCGACTTTGGGTAATCTATTATTAAGGTGCTCATCGAGGCAATGTGCTGCGAATGGAACCCGAATTTCTACCAACTGATCATTTTTGATAACACAGACAAATCGAATACATTTGACACGTAGAAGATAGAACAAGCAATTAGTTACTTTGTGAAGCATTTTACACGTTTTTTCTGCATTCTCCGAGAAAACTAATGAGGGCGATTGTTGACATTTAACCTCCACCTCATTACTCATCCTGCGTCATGTTAACGATGGAGGTGCATATTTCCCTGAGGTAGATTTGCGATTTTTTCAACACGGTATAAATCACCCATACAAACGCCTAAATGCGCTTGCAAACACTGAGGGATAGAAGGTATAACTGATTTCATAGGGAACTATAAAACAACAGGCATAACCCAGACGTTTGATATAATTATACTGGAGATCAACACCCTTCTCATTACAAACCTTCAGGATGTCCGTAATATGATGCATACAAAACATAGTCGTAAATTGTATGCATGAACAAACACCAGAGATGTGTTAACGTATTTTTCTTCAAAGCCCCGAGAACTGAGAATGTTTTTCGCTTAGTTATCGCTTGCTGCCTCATTCGAAGTATTTTGCATTATAAAACCGCCTGTTTGGCCCAATGTCCGTTCAACAGCTGATGATAGTCCGCCATAAAAGGACAGTGAAATGGTGGAGTGCAGTGTACGGTGGCAGTCGTTGAGGTAACTTGAGCCCTTAATAGATGTTACATTTTGGTCGACGTGAGCATATCGTTCGTCAGCGTACCTAAGCAGAGTTATCAAAGCTCTTCAGATAGTGATTTCATGCTTCGCCAAACCATAGTACATCTCACCTCTTTCCGACCTGATCAATTGAAAACGGAACCCAAGTGGTTACATGGTCTTTAGTGCTATATGCATTTACGAACGTGTCCGAATACTTCGGTGTTTTGATTGTCTCCTCTACATTAAATGGCTGTTAACTTGGTTTACTGTCCACCGATTGAGATTCTTTGAGACGGTCGTTCCTTACACATACTGTCGATGCCATTGGAATAAGCAGGGACTTCTATCGATAGATAAGTCTATATGCCCTAATTAAACTGGAAAAGAGCTTAGTGCGAAATATTTTTATTTTAGATTATCCAACTGAATTGCGCATGCAGAAGCCTTTCTTGAAGTCCGGTCTATAATAACTAATTTTACCTGCCGTCTTCATCCCTGATATGCTGGCCAGTGAAACAAACTCCTTTGTAAAGCAACAGATCCCAAGCTGGGTTTAGCACTTAATTGACAGCCATCTGATTGTGATTCAGGTATGCTGGAAAGCTTATTGCACTTATGGTTCTGTGTGAAAAAAGCCGTGGTCCCGAAATATATTTTTCGCTGACAAGTTAATTAACAAAATGTTTTGTTCCTGGACAGTGCGTGCACAATCCAACTGAGTGGACTGATCAATTTGTAATTCCGGATCGAATAATTACAACGTGACAAGCAGCAGGCACAAAAACGGAGCTGTGACTTTCGTCGTGCTTCCCACGTGCAGTCGTTACTAATCTCGGATATTTTTATATCCCATTCGGCTATCCCTTTGTGTGCTACATACAAATCTGGAAAAAACTTTGGTAGGATACCTAACGGTTTTCGTGATTACTCAGCAAACCCATTTCAAACATGGAACAGTCAAATTTAAGCGCACAAATTCATCTTTTCGAAACCGACAAACCTGAACTTTTATTTGCAAGCTCACTCTGGGGGCACTCTAACAATAATACTTTCATCTCATTCCGTTGTTGAACGAGGCAGTTATCGTAATTTGCCACTACCCATACGGTCACTACTGCATTGTTTACGATCCGACTGGGACCAAATCTACTTGAAACCCATTCAAATCTCGCAGACCGAGACCAGATCGATAAGGATGCGTACATGGCCCCAGTGTTAACCTGTGCTTCATTCCGTCGCCTACCCTGGACTTTATGGCAAGAGAATGGTTGGCGACATCCGGTTTCGGATTTGCCTTTCACTGTGGCCAGTCACAAGAAGCCCGCTCCTACAGAGGGACCATGGATCGCTTGCGCTGCACCACCCACAGCTCCAACCACACACCCCATATCCAATGTAAACCCGAAGGAATAAGACCGAGAGACATGTGGATGGGAGCCACGTTTCATCAACGGAGCCGACCCACACTCCTTCACAGGCAAACACAAGCACGCTGTATTTGGGGAATCAGCCGCACACAAGGCGGTTACTGGACCGTAGTCCGCTCCATACTGAGTGCATGGAACCACTCTTCGAACCAAGCATGATCACAAGGACCGTGCACCTCGTCCCCTCCAGCAACGACCAACTGTCTCCTGGAGCCAGATAGACGAGGTATTGGGTAATAGGCAAGTAGGCACCTTGTCAACATGCACATCAAGCGCAGCCACACCTGGGATATCAAACAACAGCCATTCATTCGAAATGCCGATATCGAATAAAGTAAACGAATATGACGATATAAATACTCGCTAAATGAGCATATGGAAGAAATTGGTTATAAGTTAATCCACAATAAGTGCAAAATGTCCGAAAGTTATTTAAAAAAGTACCGCGCGATAAAATTACTCAAGTTTACCACAATTTGCATGAGCGACGTGTGCAATTTGGGAGAAGACTATCAAGTACGCAGAACAAACCAAATAAACTGGAATGAATTTTATCCACATTAAAAGGACCTAGTTTAAGTGTAAGTTGGTTTAGCCCAACTGCGGTGAAGAAGCATCATGAATGCAACCTCAGCCTCAGCATGCGGCACTACACGTGATCTAACAACACGGCCTGACCCACATCCGTCCGGGCAATTGCAGGACCGGCATCCGCCAAATCATCGTGCCTGACCTTAACTAGTCGCGCTTCACTCTCTTTACCCACGTTGTTCGGTTAACGACTGACTCGGTACTAGGCTCAAAGGCAATTTTTCTGATAATAGTCAGGAGCCTCAGTGTTGCTTGATCACATTGTTGTGCAGCTAGCGTCATTAAGATAAGTGTACGTTGCACCATGGAATCAAATTTACCAGTTTGTGCAAGGTACCACAGGAGCACTGTGACCCTTGGAACAAGGGGGAAAGTAGTCGGGAAGTGGGGTCGGGAAGGAAATCAGTTTGATTCCGTTCCTTCAACTGATACTCGCACTGAATTTTGCATACCATAAGTACCATCGTTGTAAGCAAAAGGGCATTCGTGTTCCACGACATAATTCCTTATCTTGCGTTATATGTAGATTGCACAGAATATTTCATTTATTTACTGAACTGTAAACAAAAGCTGCGCAAATATTTTAATAGTTGCTCATGATTTGTTCTTTTATAAATGTGAACTGCATGTCCGATATCTACAGGAAGTTGGGGAAAATCTACAGACCAGCAGTGTTGAGAAAGATTCCATGACAAGAAGGAAAAAATTATCAGAAGAAAAGTGCAGGATCCCCACCAATCTCGGCAGAGTGATGGGCACCAATGACGATTAACATTGATTTATGTCGGTTAAAAAGCAGTTGCTTGACAAGTTCCGCAGTTTGGTGGGGATAAACCTAATTACCAAAAATTGTGTCTTGTCTGAGCGTTTATCTAGCAGCTAGGCTGCAGAATAACAAAGTGTAAATGGAAATTGAACGCGAACTACTAGGCACCACGCAGACAAACGTAGTTGTTGTACTCCGTGAGAAAAGTAAAAACGGACATACAACGGTACTGCATCATCAGGATTATGTGACATGTTAATTTGGTTTGTAGTGTTAATTATTAGATCCTAGAATAGCGAATTTTAGGCAACAAGGTGATGGGGGCCAAGGGCAAGTTCCAATACCTTTTTGAATATTTAAATTGGAAGAGGAGACTACAAAGTTTGGGAGAGAATGACAGTGTTGGCAACACTGAAGAAAATAATAGCTCCAGCATTCCCGGCGGCTATAGTTTGCACAAAATTTCAAAGGTTTTTCTCTGAAGGCGGTTTTATGGCTTTTTAACAAGTTACGGCACACGTGATTAGGGTCACCCAATATTTGGTAGACTAATATGAGATCGCCGCGCAAGTTTCGGTAACGGCCACTATAAACTCCCAGTGACTTCAGCCTTTGATGGTAGGACAGATTTCGTAGGCTGTAGACGTACATTTGGTCCTGCGTTGTGGTTTGACTGCTTTGAACAGTTAAGGTCACTTTGAATGAGCACACCGAGTTGGCATTCTTGGGAAGTTGTTTGCGATACATAAGCAGGGAAGCAGATGTAAAACGCATAAATAATGAACTTGCAAACATACGGTCGAAATTCAAAAGCGATAAAACTCTTGATGGTTACCAAAAAAAGAAATACGTGTGCAAACTCCTATTTATATTTCTCCTTGGTCATGATATCGATTTCGGATACACGAAAGCCGTTAATTTACTCTGTTCCAATCGCTATACAGAAAAACAAATTGGGTATTTATTCATCTCATTGTTGATAAGTGAAGCGCATCCTCTGATGAATTTGGTCATCACACGTTTGAAGGACGATTTATCGAGCCGGAATCCTGTTTTTGTTAATCTCGCTCTTCAGTGCATCGCTAATGTTGGAAGTCGTGAAATGGCGGAGAATTTCGCCCAAGACATACCGAAGCTTCTCGTGTCTGGGGAAACTGTTGACTCCATCAAGCAGAAAGCGGCTCTCTGTATGTTGAGACTAATACGCGTCGCTCCAGAACTCGTTACCTACGACGACTGGACTATACGTACTATTCATTTGCTCAATGATCAACATCTGGGTGTGGTTACTTTAGTTACTAGCCTCATCGACACTTTGGTTAAACGAAATCCTGAAGAGCACAAGGGATGCGTTTCATTAGCTTTTTCACTCTTGAGCCGCCTAATCACCTCATCGTACACTGATCTTCAGGACTACACCTGCTACTTCGTCTCCGCACCGTGGCTTTCAGTCAAACTTTTACGATTGCTACAAAATTACCCTCCACCGGAGGACACCACCGTTCGAGCCCGCTTGACGGAATGCTTGGACACTATCCTGAAAAAGGTTCAGGAAGCTCCGAAATCTAAGAACGTTCAGCACCCGAATGCCAAGGACGCTGTTTTGTTCGAGACGATCAACTTGATTATACACATGGACTGCGACCCCAAACTGTTGATTCGCGCTTGCAACCAATTGGACCAGTTTCTGCTCCACAAAGAGACGAACTTACGCTACCTAGCACTTGAATCTTTGTGTCTTTTGGCCACCAGCGAGTTCAGTCACGAAGCTATCAAAAAGCACCAGGAGACCATCGTTAGCGCCCTGAAGAGCGAACGCGATGTTTCCGTTCGTCAGCGAACTGCGGACTTGCTCTACGTTATGTGCGACCGCACCAATGCTCAAGCGATTGTCGGTGAGATGCTAAATTACCTTGAGGTGGCCGACTATTCCATTCGCGAGGAGATGGTTCTCAAGGTGGCCATGTTGGCGGAGAAATACGTCACGGACTACTCGTGGTATGTCGATACTATCTTGAATTTGATTCAGGTGGCCGGTGACTACGTCAGCGAGGAAGTGTTTCACCGGGTCATTCAGATCGTAGTGAATCGCGAGGACATTCAAGGCTATGCTGCAAAGACTGCCTTTGAGGCGCTGCAAGCTCCGGCCTGTCATGAGAACACGGTCAAGGTTGGCGCTTATATTTTGGGAGAATTTGGCAACCTCATAGCTGGTGACACCCGCTCCTCGCCGAAAATCCAGTTCAATCTGCTTCACAGCAAATTCCACCTGTGCACACCTAACACACGACAGCTTATGCTCTCAACCTACATGAAATTCATTAATCTGTTCCCCGAAATCAAGGCAGATGTGCAAGATGTTCTTTTAAATGACAGCAACTTGCGTAGTTCTAATGTGGAGATTCAACAACGTGCCACGGAATACTTGGCCCTTTCACGCATTGCCACTGATGACGTGCTGGCTACTGTACTAGAAGAAATGCCACCGTTTCCCGAACGTGAGTCAAGCATGTTGGCCAAATTGAAGGCAAAGAATCCGAACTCTGATGCTCCTTTAAGCCAAAAACCGAGACTGCTGGGCGAGTTGACAACGCTGCTACCCCACGGTCAACTCCTCGCCTTCTGTGAAGGGCGACCTTTATAATCTAACCATACCTCCACCAACAGGAGAAGTGGATTTATTAGATTTAGGCTCTCTCACTCCGCGCCCAGCCCCCACCACTGCGGCTGCCAAGCAGACGGCATCTACACCATCCAACAATTCCCTGTTAGCTGATTTGTTGGGAAATGGGCATGCGATTTCTGACGGCACTAATGGCTTTCTAGACGAATCATCAATCACTAACAGACGCGAATTCATCGGCCTACTTAGTCGTCCCAGTGGTGTACTGTTTGAGAACAGCGTCATTCAAATCGGTGTCCGATCCCAGTCAAACAGACATCTCAGCCGCCTCACTCTCTTCTATGGCAACAAGTCTGGGAACCGGTGACACACTTCAACGCACAACTAACATCCAGCGGTGAGGCACTGGACGAAATCGGCCCTGACAGAGCCGTAAGTGTTGACTTGCAACCGGGACCTGGAACGGTCGAATCTGGAGCGCCGGTTCAGCAGGCAACAAACATCGAGTGCGACAAACCCTTCCCAGGCAACGTTACCCTCGCTCTTTCGTTTGTTTGCGGTGATTCGAAACATCGCTATGTCCTCCTCTTACCAATCACTTTGGGAAGGTTCATTCAGCGTGCTGAAATGGACCAAGCCACATACTTCTCTCGTTGGAAGTTACTGTCCCAACCCCAACAAGAATGTAGTTCCATATTCCGTTCGCAGTTTTCCATGGATCAGGTTGCAGTGCAGAACAAGCTCCTCGGCTTCGGTATCAGTGTGTTGAGCGGGATCGATCCTAACCCAGTAAATTACGTGGGTGCTGGTATCCTTACAATGAGTTCACAAGAAGTCGGAATCTTGGTACGCCTGGAACCAAACGTCGACGCACAGATGTATCGGCTTACCGTTCGGAGCACGCGAGATGTGGTCGCGAAGACTGTGTGCCAATTGTTGCAGCAACAGCTCTAATTAATGTTCCATTGATATAGCGAAAAACAATTTGTCCCTTGCGGTGGCCACTGAAAATTTTGCCATCGTAGCACTAGTGCGTGCGCACGTGCACTTCCGATTAATTCCATTTGCATAGCAATCCTGCACTTGCCTCCCCCCACCGTTGTGATCTCAACACGAAACAATTCCTCTGTGTGCTCAGGCGTTGCGATTTTGTTATCTCTTTCGAGCACATTTATTTCAGGCTGACTTCTCCCACCCCCATACATTTCTGCTCATCTGATGATTCATTGGCGCGTCAGTACACTCACTTTCAATGCACTCTTCTATCCTCACGTGCATTTATGGTTCTGTGCAGAAAGATATCTCGTCTGTTGTTATTCTTTTTGTAAATCCGACCACCGGTTCTCACTTTGGTCACCCGTTGTGTCCGTCACATTTGATTCCTTTCCGATAGTTACTCCTACCTTACTCCCACATAATGAGACAGTTCGTGGTCGAAGGCTTATATCCCTCCGCATTGGGCAGCGCTCCCGCTATTTCTACGTTATCATTATGTTGCGACTTCACATACCGTCAAACTACTTCCTGTCTCTTTTGATCTTCTTCCTTTTCTTAATCGGCACGTTGTGCTACTTGGCATTATGATAATTTCTCCCTGTACCTTCGGCCGTCCTATTTATTTATTCTGAAAATGTAGTTATGTCCTTATACCAAAAAAAACATGATCGCTCCCACTTATGGGGCCGTGTACCGTCCGTCGGTAAATATACAAATTTATTTATTTATTTATTTATATGACCCAAGCCTATACACTTGGTTATGCTTATGGCGCAATTGAACAGCGTGACATTTATTTTAAATTGAACGGTCGCGCAATAAGAACTGACAAATTTGAAATCGTATTGAGGTTATGCTGGAGCTTATCTTGGTCCTTCGGTTCTCTGATCGTTCGCCATCATTTGATATCATCTGTGGAGTACTTATCCACGCCAGATCTTGTATAACAATCAAAAATAGACGGGACCCGAGCACCGAGAATTTTGGCATGCCGCACTCCACCTCAATTGCGTCGGACAGGGATACTCGTTCTCTCACCTACAACACACTTTTGTGCCGGTAATTGCCTATCCAACGCATCAGTGGGTCATCAGTGCCACTGAGCTGAATATCATGGAGGATAATTCGGTTGTCTAAGCGATCAAACACTTTTCAGAAGTACAGCTAAATGAAAGCAACTTCTGCTCCACCATCAACTGCTTCAGTCCAGCTATTGCATGCAGTAAGCAGGTTCGTAATGCATGAGTGCTTTTGTCGAAAACCATGTTGCTCTGGTGATATAATTATGTGATTTTTCAGCTAGTGCATGAATGCATCAGCGATGATAGACTCCAAAACATTGGAAAACACAGGGAGTAGCGTTATTTGACGATTGTAGTTGGGTCAGTGTACAACCTACCAAATGAATAGGAGTGATGATCCCTCGCCTCCGTATTGTTGGAATGTGGTTCTCCTCCATACAGCGCTGCTTGAATATTACCAGAGGATCCGTAGTATCACTGGCGGCTGTCTGTACAGCCTTCAGTCGGTGATCGCCACCTGATGGGCTGTGGATACGCAGCGCCAAAAAGCTTTTTGACACTGTTTAGGTAGTAAAAGTGATTTTAGCTAAAGCTGACGGTGGTAAAAAGAAACAGGGAGAACCGTTGGGCCCGTTACTAGCTGGTGCTTTCGTGGCGATTTGGAACCGTAAGAGAACGGCTACTTCCGTTGCTGATCGCGTGTACCCGTCAGTCGTGATCTGTGCTGGAATTCCGCGTTGCACTTTACGAAGGCCATTAATATGACTGCATACGAGTTTGCAGTTCGTGCGGCATCTCTACATTAACTCCTGCTGATGCGTCACCTTGTCTCGCGGATCAAGCTCACTCAGAAGTCACGCTTTGCCACATAGACAGTCCAGGTTCAGGAATTCAGTG